ACTCACTGAGGATAAGGAGTACTTTCGAAGTTTAAAGAAAATATATTAAGAACGATACAAGAGTGTCCACAGATCAATATTTGGAAACATAAATAAATAGATAAAACTATAAAAGGATGAACTTAACATTTTAAGATGAATGGCCTTACTTGCTTTCTTATTTAAATATTAGAACAACTGTAGACGAAATTCAATTATTTTTGTTGGTTTTAAAGATTTTTGTTTTTACAAATTATTGCACTTTTTTAGTTTTTACAGCAAATGATGCTGAAAGATTAAATCCATTAGAGCAACGACCCTAATCGCAAATAAACCCTCAGCTAATTTGATATTTATGAAGCAATTTAGTTCTGGCATTTATTATTACTCGCATACGTAGACATACTATCTCTCTAAATAATTCAATGGAAATACGAGACATTCACTTGACTAATTAAAACTTTTCTACAATAATGTTCCCACTTAGGGAGCATTTAAGCCATCAGTCTGTCGACTTCAACTACCAACTATTAGGGACATTTTTATTGCCTTCCCAGAAAAAAAGAACCCAATTAAACTGAACCCGTATTTAAGTGTGCCAATGGCAATTTAGACGGGTTCTAATTCCAGTTTTAGTTGCTGGCCGTCGTCAAACAAAAAACCCGCAACTGTTGACCGACCGACTGTTTGGTGGCTTTTCACCGCTTTCACTTTTCACCGCTCGCTTTTCCACTTTCCCCATTTCACTTTTGATTCGGAAGGGCAGCCGGGGGATTGTTATGCAAATGGAACGCACTGAAAGAAAATCAATTAACTAAAGCAAACACGGGGCGTGGCCAAACACAATGGCCATTTCTGCTGTCCTGTCAAACGCTCGTTTCGGTTGTGGGCCCAAAAATTAATTAAACCTCATTTGACGCAATCTTTCAGCGGGCCTAATTCGGAGCCCAGATCCATGGCCAAAATCCAAATCCAAATCCGAAGCAGCAACAGCAATTAGGCCCGAAATCCACAGGCGCATGGAATTCCTGGGGAAGGATATTCGGGGAATGGTGATGTTATGTTATGCGTGCGGTTATGTATATGGCATGACTGTCATTTGCTTTATGCACATGCCGAGGAAATATTCATGATTGCAGTTAACAAGGACAATTATGATTGATTTATGACTGCCGTTCGTTTGGGGGCGATTGCCATTAGTGTGGGGCCAGCTTTATGGCAGGTGTGATAAAAGTTATTATCCCGGGACGAACACACACACATGCAGATGGTGTCTTGCGCCAAAGTTTGAGTGGGTCGTTAAAAGTGTAAACCATCCTGGCAACTAAGATACGCCGCTAAATTAACATTGTAAGTGTCTTGTATTCCAACGAAAACATAACATTTAATTAGATTAGTCATATGAGCGCACAAAATGGCTTCGCAGATATCAGAAGGCGAACAAACTCATTTACATTTTGTATCTCGCGTTAAGTTTATCAACCTTTATGGCCCGAACTTTTGTTATTGCCTATTCAAATGAGTTGGATGGGCTGCAAGCTCGCTTTAATTATGTTAAATCTCTGGAGCATTTGTTTGAATAAATCAAGTTAAAGTCATGGACTTAACCTTAGATCATTGACCCTTAACTGTGCAGCACACTCCACCAAATAAATATACGCAATCGTAGGCTGTGAATAATTAAAGCACAAATTGTTTTCAATTATTTGTGGAAACTTTTACGTTCCATATGGCTGTGCAATGCAGCATTATTAAATGCTCCTGGCAGGGGACTAATAAAATATACGTTTGCCATCAGGACAGGGGCAACAAAAAGAACAATTTCCAAAAAATAAATTTGCCGAAAACTGTTTACCTCCCTTCGCACACATAATGCAATTTTAATTGCAAACAATATTTCGTTTGGTTGGGTTTAAACTCGTATTTATATGCAGGTACCAGGTATATACAAGGCTGTTTATATATATATAAATATATATAGTCGAGCAGGACTCATAATTTGCGGCAGGCGAATCCTTTTTGGGCCCGGCAGCCATGTCGTTGGTCGCAATCGATGTCGTTTATCTTCTGATTTGTTGCCAAACGAAGCAAAACAAATCACTTGCTTGAACGGAGCGATCCAACAACTAAATTTCCGAGGTCCTGCCGGAAGGAGCTGCAGCTTTTGAAGGGATTTTGCCGCAGCTCCTGCTCCAGTTTCCCAATCCACCAGCTCCAGCTGCTGTTGCGAATGAATTGTAGCCATTTTTCAGGCATCTTTGGCAGACTCGTGACGGCCGACGTTTCGCAGGAAAGGACAAGGCGAAAAAAAGCTGGGAATTTGTGACGCCTCCGCCTCGTGTTAACAATGGCAGTATGCCACGCCCACCTCTCCGCATCCCCGCCGCCCCCTTATAACAAAAGGTACAAATGTCGCCGAAATTTATTGGCTTGCATTAACCGACACAAGGACTCGCCGGGATATACACACCATATATTAATATAAGAGAGCGTGTGTGCGCCACAGCAATTGTTTTGTCTTCCTGGCTCCGGCTAAAGTGCACATTTGTTGTCTTCTTTATTTGGCCCAGAAGTTAATCAGGATTTGTGACTCATCCCCGCACGCACTGATAAATTAATTTGTGCCCTGACTTCCTTGACATTTTATTGAAATTTGCATAAACATAATTTCCGAGAGGCCGTCAGTAAATCCTGAAGAAAAAGCAAAGACTACGGAATAAACTACCAGTTGGGTAAACATGCAGCATGAAAAACTGTATTATTTCAGTACATTAACTTGGGATTTATTGTTTATGGCAGTTAAGGGTGTGTGCCATTCAATGGACACGAACATCGATGGGCCCAAAGTCAAAGTTTCCACAGAAATGTTGACTAAAAAGTTGGCCAAAAGTTGGGCAAACCCCTTAGGTGAGACCTTGTCCTTGGTAGTAGTTTTTCTCGTCCTTAACTTTCCCCTTAATTGAAAGGGCTTTGTCTTGGGGCCGGCTCGTGTGTGTATCCTCTGCAGTCACCGCATCATAAGGCTGTCATAATATGCATTTTAAATTACGTATGCACACGCGGCGTATGCGCAATATGACGAACAGCAGCCGCCGCAAATTTCCTTGCCACACACTCACACACACACATCTTTCTCTTTATTTTGTAGAGAGAAATTTCCACTTGGCTTTTGTTTCTAGCCAAGTTTATGTTATACAATTTTCGTTTCCATTTCCTCTTTTGGCATTTGCTCTTTTTTCTCCTCGCAAAGCTCGTAAATCTTTGAAGAAGCGTCGGGGAAAAAATGGAAAATTGCCCATTTTGTGTTGGGTCATAAAATGGCAACAGATCAATATAACATTTATTTATATTTTCGCCCGAATGGCCATAAAAGTGTTGTGCCATTTAAATGATCGGTGAAGTGGCGTGCTCTAATTAATATGTGGGTGGCAAATCTAGCGGATAGAAAATACTTCAAAGGCTGAACCGGGGATTTATGGGCTGCACCAGGACGGAAGTGTCAACTTGGCAACTTGGATTGCGCCGGGACAGCTCCAACTCCAAACTCCTTTTTTGAGCCCGTATTTATGTAGCGATAAAATTAAATTTATTTTAACGCCGGCCAAAGGTGTTGGGGTGTCGTTGGTTGTGCGCACATAGTTAAACACTATCGCCAACTTGCTGGCAAGTTCTGTTCGAAAACTATCCTCTGCCTTCTTGGCCAGGAAATCGCTGGAATCGCAGGCAGAGGCCGGGAAAAGCACCTGCGATAAAAGTTTCTGCGCCATTTTCCACTTTTCTTATGTAGATGTGTGTGTGTATGTGTGTTCGTCTGTGTGAGTGTTTGTTGCCGGCATTTTTGGGCATACGCACGAGTCCGGTGCTCCGGCGCTCCAGTCGCAAACAGTAATGCAGCCCATAAACCAGCCGGCAAATGCAATGATATTGCCAATGCTCGTGGCCGTGTTTAATCTACCAGCCGGAGTTAATATGCCTGCCGCAATGCAGTGGCAGACGGGGGCCAAAAGCGGTCTGGTCTGGGTTTTCCCCCATTTCTTGCCAGTCGGCAGAAAATTTCGCCTAGCCACAACTGTTCCTGCAAAATTTGTTGCAAATGTCGGCATCAGATGTGATCTGAAATGGAAAAATTCAAATTTAACCACAAGCTAAATTGTATCAACAAATTTGTAGCTTAATATATAAATAAATGTATTTTTTTTGTTTTAACAAATTAGCCTCATAAAAATGTATTAAATAAATATAATAAGGAGTAGAAAATCCTTGGGTCTAAACATAAAAACTAAGTTCTTAGCTTAAAGGCAGTCCTACGCTTTGTTAAACAAAATGAATTTTAAACTAATTAATGTAATAAATATGTGAAAAAAGCATTACACTCTGGCCGTATAAAAAGCCGGAAATCAATTAACAAATAAGCATATTTTGTTATTTAAAAAACCTATTAACCTAAATGAGTTTTTTTATTTTTTAATTATGCAGATTTAAATAAAATAAATGAAACCAATAGAAATATAAAACGGAAAGACTTAATTTCAGTAATAAATCAGTCAGCCGTATTATATTGCCTTTGATACATAAAATGTATAATTACTGATATACCAGTCGACATAAACAATTCATTAATTCATAATGGTATTTTCTTCTTCCTTGCCATAACACCCAATTAAATTGAGAACTATGCTATTATTCTGCAAGATGGTATAACCACATCGCATTGAACTTCAGCCACGTGTGTAAACTAAGACCCAATTATTTTCCTCTGCCCCAAACTTTGATTAGGTTTCGATAACAAGCCCCGTATATGATTTATGCCACCGAAATATAGTTAATTAAAACTCTTCACTTCGCTGCGGGGAGTCAGCATATTGATTTTCGCTGTTTCGATTGATGGCTGCTACTGTCCATGATTTTATGGTCTCGGTTATGGTTATGAATATGCAGAGCGATAAGCTGATAACCAATCCCAATCACGACCCCTTATAAATAGGAGTGTATAGTGCGGCCGCCTCGTAAACAGATTGCAAATGTCGGCCAAAAAGAGTGAGCCGCCGCCTCAGGATTCGCTTGCCACGCCCCAAAAAGCCACCTTTTTCCGTTTGGGCCACAAAAACCACTCGCAATGGACTGCCCTGGGATCCGCATCCTTCGTCCTGATCTCGGGCGGAATGAGTTTGGCCTGGGGAGCAGGATTCGCAGTTCACTCCGCCCATCGGGATCAGCTCCTGCTCACCGTGCACATGCAAATCTCCTGGTATGCCACCGCCATCCTGGGAGCTCTCTTTGGTGCTTTTTTCACCCACCGACTGCCTCAGCAACCCATTTATGTAAGTAGTTATAAAAATTTTACAAAAATATAAATAAGTAGGGCCGAGAAAAAGTTTTAAGGTAGATATATGCGATTTCAAACTACAACGTGCTTAAATTCTTAATTAAATCTTGTGGAATAAAGAATAAAGGTTATCTAACTTGGGGCATTTGAAAATTATGAAAAATAATTATAAGAATTATGAAGACAAGTAATGAACTTAATATTGGTTTTAAATTGTTTAATTGGTATATATTTTCAAAACATTTTTAAAAAGGTTTCTTTTAAGAAATAGTTTTGGGCATTAAAGTAAAAGTAATATGTCTATATGTCGCACATTAAATTATAAAAATAAATTATACATTTTTAACATAAATCGGTAAATGTAACTTTTATTTGGGATAGTGAGGGAAATTACAAACAATTTAAGTTTTACTACATTTAAATTGACTATCAACCTGAATGCCATTGCAGATCTTTGGTTCCTGCTTGGTGATTGCCTCCGGAATCCTATTCTTGGCTTGGCCTGAGTGTCCTGGTTCCATTATAGCCGCCCGATATCTGGACGGATTGGCCAATGGACTGATTTTTGTGCCCGCCATGAGCACAGTGGGTGAGATTGCGGTGAGTGAGATGCGAGGTCTTCTGGCATCCACGGTGGAGCAACTCAGCTCGAATACCGGCATCCTGATGCAGCTGATCTACACGGCCGTTTGGCAGGTGGACTGGGACGTGGTCATTGTGGCGGACCAGGTGCACGGAGTGCTGTCAATAGTCTACGGAGTGATAGCCTTGGCCCTAGCCCTAACCCTTTGTGTGGAGTCACCAGTGCACCTGCTGATGCGATCCAATGAACAAAGGGCGGTGGTTTCCCTGAGACACCTGCAACGACCCTATATGGTGACCAGTGAAACGCTCCTCAGATTGGATGAGCACAAACTGTATGTGGCTGACAATCGGGAGATGTGTGTGTGGTTAAGTCTGCAGAAAGGATTTCCAGCGCTTCTCAAACTGCTGGCCCTTCGATTGTTGGGAGTCCTGTGCCTGAACTATATCCTCTGCTGTGCCCTCTATGAAACTGCCAGCCAATTGGTGAGTTGCTTTCATGCCTGGACCTATGTGATTTTCGGGGTATTGCGGTGGTGCGGCTGCTTTTTTGTGGTGGTCCTCATGGACACCACTGGTCGCAAGAAACCCACTCTCTTTGGGACCTTTTCCACGGGAGCCTTTGCCATCGCATTTGCCAATCTATTTGGAAGAACTCCTCACATGATCACCGCTCTGGTGATGCTCTTCAGTCTGCAATTCTTCGCGGGATTGGGACAATGTGCCTCGGCGGTTTACCTCACAGAAGCATTTCCCCTGGGAATTAAACCACATTTGGTGGCAGCGGTTTACATAATGGAACTCATCACTCGACTGCTCCTCTGCAGCTTTGCACCTTCGATCGCTGGGATTACGGCGTACTTTCATGTCCTGGGCTCACTTTCCATGGTTTTCTTTCTTCTGGGAATCTTCTGTCTGTCGGAAACGAGGCTAATAACTTTGGCAGAGGCGCAGCTCAAATTTACCAAATGGTTCAACAAAGATTTTTAAGTATATGGGTGCGGGGGTAATAATTATTTATGTGAATCAGCACGATGATAACGTAGTTTATTGAGCCAATACGTTGTTATTCCGATCCGGTGATAAATTCATAATAATTAAGGGGCTATCCCCTTTTTAACCATAGACCAAATCTTATCGAAAACAAAACGTAGTAAAAGCAAAAACATTTCTTAGGTCGATGCTTGAAATACCGTGGAAATAATTATACTTTGTTGAAAATTTAGAAATATATTTAAATTTTAAATTTAACTATATTTTTTGTACAAATTCGAAACATTCGAAATATGTAATTCCAAGAAAATATCTCAAACGATTGAAATGAGCGACAGTATAATCAAACTGATTAAACCACTTTAAAGGCGATAAAGAACAAAAACCGGCCATAAACTAAGCTAATACTTGCTATAAACAATCTACGCAACGGGTGCGCACACTATTTGAACAGCTGAGTTTAGTTAGTTTTCTATTAACCATCGTCAGAGAAGGAGGTCTCAATGCAAATAATATGAGTCGAATGAATCACAATAAGCCCAAGTGGGATGACAACCTCGGTTCCAGAAAAGGAAACAAATTAAAGCCCAATGCATGGGATTCTGGTGGGTAAATGTCAGCACAAATAGTGCAAATTAATCTTATCTAACCTGATTGATACGGGAAAAATTCCTAGAACATATCATTGACGGAATGGGAAATTCATCTAATAGACAACTCGATTTTCACAGTGTCAACCACCAAATGGAATTATATAGGATTTTTCCTTGTTGGAATCATTGGAACTGTTTGTGAATTCTTCATCAGAAACAAAAAAACTAAAAAGCAAATCCTGGTAAGCAAAGTATTAGCATAATTCAATTGACTTAAACTGATATCATTATGTTTCTTCCCACAGAAATTTTGTTCCATTTTGGTTGCAATTGGAAACCTTTTAATGACTTGCTTTAGAAACAACGGTCGTGCTAATTTGAGGAGAAGACGTTATTGATAAACACACAAAAGATCTAAAGTTGATTGAGAAATATAATTTGAAAATGTACCTCTGAATTTTTATGGGGAGTTATTATTTATTTTATTAGAGATTTTGCGAAACACCCTGGAGAATAATTATACTTTATAATATATTTCAATAAAATCTATTTTGTCTTGATATTACAAATCATTTATTACGCTGTGTTACACCATTTGATCTTGAACTCAATGGTTTTTAAGTGATTTTGTTTAAACAAGCCAAAGATTTTTTCATCGGTAATATGAGTGCAAAAAAATATTACCATTGATTGGAAATTTATATATTCAAAAGCCTTATTGTTAAAAAAAAATCGAGAACATAAATTCGTTTGCCTATTTTTTGAGTTTCAAAAATGATCAATAAAGTTACTTTTAAGTCAATTTTTTCAAAACGCTCACATGCATAAACTTTTTTGTGGCCAGATTAAAATACCTTCTAATTTTAATCAAAATAGGAATATTTAAAGACTATTATGCATTAACATTTCTTAGCCAGATTTTAAAAGACACATTTAAGTTGATTACTAAAAGAAAATCTATAACATCACCCTCAGTAAAATACTAATCTAAGAAATTCAACTGGGAATCATATCTCAGAGTCGTTTTTATGGTTATTTCTAGGAATGGATAATTCATATTAGACGATGAACTTTGGGAGGGATGAGCAATCATGGCAACAGAATAAGTCGGGGAAGAACCAAATTCCGGCACACTTATTTCCTACACCTACCACAGGCAAATCAAGAACGTATACCCCACAAATACCATAAAATAAAATTCGCAAACAATGCGATAAAAGTCCTTATCGGGCACTCATACACACAGTTGGGCCAGGCCCAATCTCTTTACACATAAACACCAGATGGCCAATCGTCGTATTAACCAGTTTCGAATCGACCTCAAGCGGAGCAGGTTGTCTTCTTCGTGTGGAGAGAAATAAATCGCGATCGACCATGCAGAAAGACAGATTTGCACCATCGCCAGTAGGATTTACCTCGGCCCCACCACAGCCAGGATATCCCCAGCCAGGATATCCCCAGCCAGGATATCCCCCGCCAGAAGATCCCCAGCAGGAACACCCGCAGGAACACCCGCAGCAACATTGTCCTGCCCACACCACTCCTCCGCCACCATCGATGAATGCTCCAACCAGAGTGGATTCACCACGGCATGGAATCTTGGGGGGCGCCAATGAGAACAGGCCTCAATCCAACGCCCTTCACTCAGGTGAGTTCAGATTTGGAATCCATCAAGTTAGTCACCTGCCAAGTTGCCAGTTGACCATGACGATAATCTTATCTCGTCTGCTCAAAATATAGGATATACATATATTAGATAATGGACCGTGACGTAATTCACTGCAAATCGATGCTAAATAAAAAATTTTATTCACATATCAATAGACGGCAATAATTTGTTTTAAAGGATTTTTTACAAATCTTTGTTAGCTTTGATAATTTTACTAACACCTTAATAGAATTGGAAGCGGAAGGGTTTGAAAAAATTAATAGGTTTTAGTAAGTTTACTAACCCTAGTGCTGAAAAAAATCTATTAAAAACAAAGGGAACGTAATCGAATGTCAGTTAGCTTTGGAAATTAAATAAACTTCTTTAATAATTTTTATAACATTGGATTTTTGTGTTTCTTTTTTGTAATGTTTTATAAAAAGATAACAGTTGCAAAACTTGTTTTCCAAAATAATCAAATAAAATATTAAATGACATTTTTATTTCTCCACTTTCAGCTGGTCTCATCTTCATTTCGGGAGGCATGAACATAGCTTGGGCGATCGGCGTCCGTGGACCCATTGGCTACCTTGTCACCAAGCATAATTTCATAGCCTGGTTCATTGGCGCCATCATCGGATCGTTTATTACCTGTGGCCTGACCAACAAGGTGGCCAAGAAGTATATCCTGGTAAGCGAAGAAAAACAGTAATTAATTAAAAACCTCGAGTGAGAATCCCCCCTGCCAACAGCTATTTTCCTCCGCTCTGGTCGCCATCGGTGGATTGGTAATTGCCTGCTCACACCACAATGGACCTGCAACGGTGGCCGCCTGCTATTTGGATGGCATCGCCAATGGTCTGGTGTTTGCTCCCTTTTTGGCCCTGGCTGGAGAACTTTCTGTTCCCTATATGAGGGGCAGATTCGTGGCTAAGTTGGAGCAGCTGTGCTTCGGCATCGGCATCCTGCTGCAGTTCGTCATCCCCTCGACCAATAACACGTCAATATCGAAAAACCAGTTCAGTTCCGAGAATATGAAGGGAGCAATAAGCGCTGGAATTGGTTTCATGGCTCTCATTATGGGCTCCTTTTGGACCATTGAATCGCCGGTCCTGATGCTGGCCAATAACGATGAGCAGGGAGCCATTAATACACTGCTTCGCCTGCAAAAGCCCGCCGTGCTGAGCGAAGAAACTTACGAACTGCTGGCGGAGCACAAGCGCTATTTGGCCCACAACAAGGACATGACGTTGGGTCAGAGTATTTCCCAGGCTCTGCCCACTTTCATTCGACTCGCTTACCTGCGAGTTCTGAATGCGATGAGCATCTCCAGCTTTGTGGTCATCACCTTGACTTTGTCCATAGTCGCGATCAACGACGGGTATACCGAGCATGCCTGGTACGTAGGATTCGCCGTCTGCCGCTGGCTGGGTAACATCATCCCGTCCTTCTGCATGGATACCTTGGGCAGAAAGAAGCCCACTGTTTTTGGCCTGCTTGTCAGCTGTGGACTGGCCTTTGCCCTTAGTGTCCAGTACAGTTGGCAGATGAGTGGAGTGACCGTCCTGCTGCTGGTGTTCCAGTTCTTTTCGTACCTCTCCGAAGCCTATCCCTTTGGAGTTAAGCAGCACTTCATCGCCCTCACCTTCGTCACCGAAATGTTCGTCTTCCTCATCATCAACGTCTGTGACTACAACCTGTTGCAGGGATACAACTACTTCTACATCATGGGGGGCATGTACCTGGCTGGCTTCTTGCTGGGAGTCATTACACTGCCCGAAACTAACTTGATGACCTTGCGAGGTGCCCAACAGCAATTCAGCAGTTTCGTGAACCTGCGGTTTAATTAATCTAGTGAACCCTAATGTACCATTGTAATATACAAAATTAAATACATACTTACAATATAGGCCTGAATTTCATCACAAAATGAATTATTTTTTAATGACCAATACTTGTTGTTGGGGGAAGTCCCAATTGGGAAACACCAAATTCCTACTAAATACCTGGCTATGCAAACGGGTGCTCGACAATGCTAAATCTTGTTGGCGCCTTAATACCTTCACTAATGTTAATTTAACACAGTGTGAGTAATAAAATCTATTAATTTCCGAGCACTGGACAAAGCCAATCGAATTTCAATAAAAATATAAATATTTAAAGACTATTATCCATTACAATTTTTAAAAAATATTAAAAACAAGAAAGGAAAGCTTACTTCGGGCGGAGCCGAAGTTGATATATCCTTGCAGAATATTTTGTAAATTATATTGGTTGACCATAAAACCCATAAAAATCCCAATTTCCTAACTTTAAAAACAATAATCGTTCAGTTATATGGCGGCTATAGGAAATAGTCGGCCGATCCTTATGAAATTTGGTAGGTCGGTGGTATTGATTGGCCAAAAATAAAACCCGTAGAAATTCCCAACTTCCTAATTTTACAAACACCAAAGTTATGGCATTTCCGATCGTTCAGTTATATGGAAGCTATAGGGTATAGTCGGCCGATTCCGACTTATATACTGCGTGCAAAGGAAAGAAGGGTGTGTGCAAAGTTTCAATTCGATATTTTTAAAACTGAGAGACTAGTTTGCATAGAAACAGACAGACGGACAGAGAGACGGACATGCTTATATCATCTCAGGAGGTGATCCTTATCAAGAATATATATACTTTATAGGGTCGGACCAAAATTATAATTGCCTCTGCAAGGGTATAAAGATTAAAGTAAATTTATTACCAAATGAGAAAAACTAAATAATAACACTAAGAAAAATACTTATCTAAGAAATTCAACTGGGAATCATATCTCAGAATCGTTTTTGTGGTTATTTCTAGGAATGGATGATTCATATCAGACGATGAACTTTGGGAGGGATGAGCAATCATGGCAACAGAATAAGTCGGGGAAGAACCAAATTCCGGCACACTTATTTCCTACACCTACCACAGGCAAATCAAGAACGTATACCCCACATATACCATAAAATAAAATTCACAAACGTTGCGATAAAAGTCCTTATCGGGCACTCATGCACAATGATTTCAACCATTTGCTAAAATCAGCGTTGGCCCCGCTCACGATTATCAGTTGGGCCGGGACCGATCATTTTACACATAAAAACCAGATGGCCAATCGTCGTATCAACCAGTTTCGAATCGACCTCACGCGGAGCAGGTTGTCTTCTTCGTGTGGAGAGAAATAAATCGCGATCGACCATGCAGAACGACAAGTTTGCACCACCGCCAGTAGGATTTACCTCGGCACCACCACAGCCAGGATATCCCCAGCCAGGATATCCCCAGCCAGGATATCCCCAGCCAGGATATCCCCACCAAGAACACCCACAGCAGCATTATCCTGCCCACACCACCCCGGCGGCCACATACGGAGGTCCTCCGCCACCACCACCGCAACCATCGATAAATGCTCCCACCAGAGTGGATCCACCACGCCAAGGATGCTTTCAGGGCAACCAAAAGAACAGGCCACAATCCAACGCAGTTGGCTCAGGTGAGTTCAAATTTGGAATCCATCAAGTTAGTCACCAGCCAAAGAGTTGACCATGACGATAATCTTATCTAGTCTGCTCAAAAGCGAACTATTACTGGAAATATATTAGATAATGGACCGTGACGTAATTCAGTGCAAATCGTTGCTATATAAAATGGATTAACGGATATAATATTTTTAAAAGCCTTTTTTTACAAATCTTAGTTAGCTTTAAAAATATTACTAACACTTTAAGGAAATTAAAAGCGGAAGGGTTTGAAAGAAATGAATAGGGTTTAAAAAGTCTTTTAACCTCAATGTGTAGAAAAAAGTATATTGAATTATAGGTTTTGAAAATTAAATAAACTTATTTAATAATTTTTTTTTAAATATTTTTTTTGTTTTTTTTTTTATGTTTTACAGAAAGATAATAGTTTAAAAACTTTTTTTTCTAAAAAGGACTGTAATTAAATAAAAACAAGAAAGGAAAGCTATCTTCGGGCGGAGCGATATCTTCGATATCTTTAAAACTGAGAGACTAGTTCGCGTAGAAACAGACAGACGGACAGACAGACATGCTTATAACAACTCAGAATATATATACTTTATAGGGTCGGAGATGTCTCCTTCACTGCGTTGCACACTTTTGACCAAAATTATAATACCCTCTGCAAGGGTATACAAATTTAAAATGTAGTTTTACAAAGGATACTAATAAATTAAAATATTAAATTTATTTCTCCACTTTCAGCTGGTCTCATCTTCATTTCGGGAGGCATGAACATAGCGTGGGCGATCGGCGTCCGAGGACCCATTGGCTACCTTGTCACCAAGCATAATTTCATAGCCTGGTTCATTGGCGCCATCATTGGATCGTTTATTACCTGTGGCCTGACCAACAAGGTGGCCAAGAAGTATATCCTGGTAAGCGAAGAATAACCGTAATTAATTGAAAACCTCGAATGAGAATCCTCCTTGCCCACAGCTATTTTCCTCCGCTCTGGTGGCCATCGGTGGATTGGTAATTGCCTGCTCACACCACAATGGACCTGCAACGGTGGCCGCATGTTATTTGGATGGCATCGCCAATGGTCTGGTGTTTGCTCCCTTTTTGGCCCTGGCTGGAGAACTTTCTGTGCCCTATATGAGGGGCAAAGTCGTGGCAAGTTTGGAGCAGCTGTGCTTCGGCATCGGCATCCTGCTGCAGTTCCTATACGTCACCTCCTGGTCCTACAACACGTACACATCGTACAACGATTTCACTGCCGAGAATATGAAGGGAGTGCTGAGTGCCATATATGGTTTCATGGCCCTCATTCTGGGCTTCTTTATGACCATCGAATCGCCGGTCCTGATGCTGGCCAATAACGATGAGCAGGGAGCCATTGATGCACTGCGTCGCCTGCAAAAGCCCGCCGTGCTGAGCGATGAAACCTACGAATTGCTGGCGGAGCACAAGCGCTATTTGGCCCACAACAAGGACTTGACGGTGGGTCAGAGTATTTCCCAGGCTCTGCCCACTTTCATCCGGCTCGCTTACCTGCGAGTTCTGAATGCGATGAGCATCTCCAGCTTTGTGGTCATCACCTTGACTTTGTCCATCCTCGCGTCCTACGGAGTGTATAGCACGAATGCCTGGTACATAGGATTCGCCGTCTGCCGCTTTCTGGGTAACATCATCCCGTCCTTCTGCATGGAGTCCTTGGGCCGAAAGAAGCCCACTGTTTTTGGCCTGCTTGTCAGCTGTGGACTGGCCTTTGCCCTTAGTGTCCAGTACAGTTGGCAGATGAGTGGAGTGACCGTCCTGCTGCTGGTGTTCCAGTTCTTTTCGGGAATGGCCTTCACGGCCACCTCAACGTACCTCTCCGAAGCCTATCCCCTTGGAGTTAAACAGCACTTCATCGCCCTTACCTTCGTCACCGAAATGTTCGTCTTCCTCATCATCAACGTCTGTGACTACAACGTGATGCAGGGATACAACTACTTCTACATCATGGGGGGCATGTACCTGGCTGGCTTCTTGCTGGGAGTCATTACACTGCCCGAAACTAAATTGATGACCTTGCGAGGTGCCCAGCAGCAGTTCAGCAGTTTCGTGAACCTGCGGTTCAATTAATCTAGTGATCCCTAATGTACCATTACTAAATTGAAAATATACATACAATAGAGTCCTGTATTTCATCACAAAATGGATTCATTTTAAATGACCAATACTTGTTGTTGGGGGAAGTCCCAATTGGGAAACACCCTACTATCTTAAGAACGAAATCAAACTCTTGAGTTATGTACATATGAAGTAAAAAACAAATCACATAGAAAACAAATTACATTCAATCAAATAGATTAAATAAACTAAACGTTTAGTCTTTTACTGATTAGCCTCTCTAAAGTTGCCTTGGCCAAATTTCCTGGTAAATACCTGGGTATACAAACATGTGCTCGACAATGTTAGCGCTTGTTGGCGCTTTATGTTTTTTCAGCTAAGTAATAATGTTTTATTGCAGTCATATATAAGGTTATTATCTTAATACTACCGTTTGATAACTCATGAGATATTTACAATATAGTTTGTTGGGAGCGAATTTCTTTTTATAGTCGATTCTTATCAGTTATGTGATTAAATATAAAGAAAGCCCCCGTAAAGAATGGCAAAAGTGATTATCTATTATATTATTTTTCTTAAACTTTAAGTTTAAGCTTACACAGTTAGTTCTTAAAACATAGAAAAATAGTTATTATATCTGTTTATTTGAAAGAAGTCTTGGAAAAAGATCCAGCGGTACAACGCATTTCTATTAAATAAACCAAAAGACAGACTTTAGTACATGAATTATCCGTTGTTATTCCGATTTAGTAAAGCGCTCAAAAAGTGATTTAATCCCTGGGAGCCCCCTTTTAGGGGTATATATAATTTCCAAACATGATTCGATAAGAGTCCCATTATCGCTCGCCATTTGCAGCTTATCAGGAACGTGTCGATAAGCCTTGGCCCCACTCAATAATCATTTCGGTCCCATGCCAAATGGTTAATATAATCGGCACAGACATTCCGTCAACCAGTTTCAAATTACCCATTCGCAGGGACGGTTGCCCCTCGAAAAACAAAGAAAGGCCAAACGAAATGGAGAGCGAAGGAAACGGACCTGACTACAAACAGGCCTCAGTTGGCTTTGCACCTGCACCACAGCAGCCAGGATATCCTCAGGTGGGATATCCCCAGCCAGGATATCCACCTCCAGGATATCCTCAACCTGGATTTCATCAACCAGGATATCCACAGCCTGGGAATTCATGGAATCCCCCACAGCCAGGATTTTCCGGGTACCCACCACCACCACACCACGGATACCCACCACAGTACTATGGCGCACCACCAGGTTATGGAGCAACGGCACCACCACCACTACCACCTCCACCACCATTTGCTCCCCAGCAAACCACCACTGTGGTGGCAAATACTACCTGGTACAGTCGTAATCAGAAGAACAAACCACAATCAAATGCCGTTGGCGCAGGTGAGTCACACATCAAAGTACAAAGAAATTTTCAGTGAAAAAATAATATATTTATTTAATATAACTAAAATTTACATTCACAACTGATCACTAAAGTTATATCCCATTTTCAGCGAGTCTCATCTTCATCTCTGGAGGAATGAACATTGCGTGGAGCATTGGATTCCATGGAAAACTCTACTATCATACATCCACGCACAATTTTGTGGCCTGGTTTATTGGTGCCATCATTGGAGCGTTCCTCAGTTGTTTTCTGACCAACAAAATAGCCAAGAAACATGTGGTGGTAGGTGAAAAATGTAAGAATTCTTCCACTAAGCCAACTTATGGAACCTCTATTAACAGATTTTCAGTTCGATTCTGGTGATGATTGGTGGTATAGTCAATGCCAGTACCAGAATGAATGGCGATGCCGCGTTGGCAGGCTCCTATCTGGATGGAATAGCCAATGGACTGGTATTCGCTCCATTTATGGCCCTGACTGGAGAGATTTGTGTGTCCACCATGAGGGGTCTGATGGCAGCCAGCATTGAACAGATGTGCTTTGGCCTGGGAATCTTCGTGCAGATCATCTACTCCTCATCCTGGAACGCCTCGACTTCTTACCCACCGAGAAACTCCTTTTCTGCTGAGAATATGAAGGGAGTGCTGAGCATCATCTATGGCCTATTTGCATTGATTATTGGCTCACTGCTTTGCATTGAATCTCCGGTGATAATGCTGGCCAAATACAACGACGAACAGGGTGCCATCGATGCCCTGCGACGACTGCAGAGGCCCTACACCTTGACCAACGAAACCTTCGAGCAGCTGGCGGAGCACAAAAGGTACTTGGCCCAGAACAAGGAGCTTTCCCTGGGCCAGAGCATCCTGCAGGCCATTCCCACCTTCATCCGGCTGGCCTTTCTAAGGGGCTTGAATGCCATGAGCATTTCCAGCTTTGTCTTCTTCACCCTTTTATTTTCTGCCAGAACTCAGTATGGAAATGTGTCCGTGGGTTGGCTCATTGGATTCGGAGTCTGCCGCTGGATGGGCAACTTCATAGCCACCTTCTGCATGGAATCGGGTGGTCGCAAGAAGTTCACCCTAGTGGGACTTTTCCTTTGCAGTGTATTGGCCTTCATCATCGCAGGCCAGTACAACATATACTCCTATCAGTACTATACCGGCAACACCATTATGCTGCTGGTCCTTGAATTCTTCGCGGGAATCGCCTTTACGGCCACTTCGCCTTACCTCACGGAAGCATATCCCCTGGGAGTTAAGCAGCACTTCATTGCCTTCACTTTCATCGTGGAGATGCTAGTGTTCATATTGCTGGCCACGATCACTTGGGACGTTTCGGCAGGAGCCATTTACTTCTATGTCTTGGGAGGACTCTATATGTTCGGCTCTTTCTTCGGCATTCTCTGCCTACCGGAGACCAGAAGGATGACTTTGAGAGAGGCCCAGGAGAAGTTCAGCAGATTCATCAACATCGCTTTCTAGTTGGAAATACCGTTTATACGCTAAGTCACTAGAGATAATAAATATTTATAGCTGCCACACAGCAATCCAGGCGTTGGTTTTCCCAATTGTATTTCAGCTATTAATAACATTTATGGACTATCAACAAAACAATCGTCATTAAAGTGTTGGACAATGGAAAACCAGTTTTGCGGACTTTCTGGTAAATTACTGAAAGAGAATTTCATAAAAACTTAAAGAGAATAAGAGTATGAAGCATATGTCTGAGGGTGAAGGTTAGATAATGCAGTTTTACCTACCAAGGTACACAAACAAATCCCGCAGAACACATGCTCAACTCTATGCAAACAAATCGTGATAGGGAAAATCGAGCTCTAAGAGATAGCGAAACCTGAAATTTCTAAGCACTTACTTATCAATCAATACCCGATAAGATTAGTTCAACGCCGATAGATAATTCAGTGGGAGGTGTTCAACACGCTCACCTAAAAGAGCCGAAAAACGCGGACGTGTAGTTTTCTCCGACAGCTCGACCACAGAAGGTCCAATGCAGACCGATCGTCCTTCGCTGGAAGATGGCTTCCACGCCGTTCCTATACACAGTGACTCGGAGCACAACATCCACAGTAACTCGGATCACCAGCGGGAACTGATCCTTCAGAACTCACAGAGAAGTCCCTGCTGCAACAGAGATCTCCGCAATCAGCCACAATCAAATGCAGTTGGAGCTGGTAAGAACGTAGGGTAATTAATAAAATACAGAGAGAAAAACAGTATACATTTTAAGAACAGATCCATAATACAATAATTATTATATTAATATCTATATTTTTATCAACATAACGTAAAATTTACTTTAATACTGGCAAATTGCCTTTTTCTTTTTAATAAATCATTTTACCGAAACCTGTCATTATCTTTCTATGTGGGAGGTGAAATAGCGTCATTTTGTTTTGGATAAGTGGAAGTCCCACGCATTAATGATTCACTCCATATGTCAGTAGAATTTGATATTATCAAGCGGACATTCGTCTATATATGTCAAAGAAATTTTATATTTTTATCAGCACATTAAATGATATATTTTGGCAGGAAGTTTGGTTCTTAGAGTGTGAAGCCACTCATTATCTAGTACTTTTCTTACATTAAGTATTTAAATGATTTAATAAAACCCTTACGTGTAAGAGAGGATCTGGAACAGGAATTATGTTTCCAAATATCTATAAAACGATAGTTATGTGTATACCAGAAATTGTTGTATTACTTAGAGGTCCTGATTAAATTTGTTAGCAACTATTTTCTTAAATATTCATTCACCTGTTTATCTTTGGTATTTGGCCTTTGTTGAACTAAAAATAATACAACAGTTTAAATTGTCATTCAAACTGTCTACAAAATATCTTATCTTTTAAGTAGGCGTTCGCAACTTTTCCTTTTCTTTAACTGATAAAGACATTTGTTTACTGCAATCAATATTTGATATAAATACATTTATTAATTTTTGTTTCATTGCAGCTGCCTTAATTTTTGTAACGGGTGGAATTCACATTGCCTGGAGCATTGGTTTTGACAGTTTGTTCGCCGAACTGGAAGTAACCAACCATGTGAGGATTTGCTGGTTTATAGCCGCCATTTTGGGAGCCCTGTTTGGTGGATTCTTCAGCCGAAGGTTTCCTTATAAAGTACTGATGGTAAGGAAAATACCTAAGCAATATAAACAATTTAACAAATTTAAGAGATTAATTAGTAAACAAATGTAACTCAAGGAATACACTCCATGAAGTAATACTTCTCAGAAAGGGCATTTCAAATGGATACATTTAAGAGATACATAATCCATAAATCTTTAAATAGAAGGCTTTAAATTAATTGCACTCTATAATTTCAGGAGTTTTGTTCTCTGCTGACCCTCACCGGTGGAATAATTATGGCTGTGAATAGAATGGATCTCGATGCGCTGCTGGCAGGCAGATATTTGAATGGCCTCGCCAATGGTCTGGCCATAGCTCCCACTTTGGCCATGGCAGGTGAACTCTCGGTTTTCTACAAGAGGGGAACCATCACATCTGCGACGGAGCAGTGGGCCACAACGATTGGCATCTTTGTGCAGATCGTGAGCAGTACGAGTTGGGACGTGCAGAGTGACTTCACGGAGGAGCAGTTCACGGGAGTGATCAGTGGAGTCCTGGGCGCCATAGCCCTCATCCTGGCCTTTCTGCTGTCCATCGAATCTCCGGTGGATCTGCTGGAGCAGGGAAATGAGCAGGGTGCCATCGAGGCTCTGAGCAGGTTGCAAAGACCCAGGGCTGTGACGGCTGAGACCCATGATCAGGTGAGGGATCATCGCACCTATTTGGCTCACCATAGTTCCATCAGCTGGCAAAAAGCCATTCCCGCCGTCATTCGACTCTCCGTTTTGAGGGCTATGTATGCCGTCAGCTTCAGTATGATGGTGACTTACACCATTTCCTGGACAAGTGCGGCCGTCTACGGCGACAGTTCGGGACCCTTTGTGCTGTTTGGATTCCTGCGACTCATGGGCACCTTCTCGACCGCCTTTGCCCTGGATTCCTTGGGCAGGAAAATCCCCCTGCTCCTGGGACTCGTGATTGCGGGTGGCCTGTCTGTTGGCCTGGCCAGCAGATTTGCAGGCAGTCAGCTGCTGGCATTCTCGGACTATCGAATGGCCCTGTGGCTGCTGCTCATTTACCAACTATTCGCCGGGATAGCCTTTGCCCCCAGCTCAGCGTTTCTCTCGGAGGCCTTTCCACGCAAGTTCAAGCGACAGTGCATTGCCATCGCCTATATCCTGGAGATGATCGTCCAGCTCACCATTTGCCAAGAGCAATTCTACAACGACAGCAGCATTGTTGCCATCTATTTCTTTGCCCTCGGAGGCCTGCTCCTGGCCGGATTCCTCTTCAGCGTGTGGTACATGCCGGAAACGAAGGACACCACTCTCCTGCAAGCGCAATTCAAGTTCCAGGAATTTGTGATACCCCCAGCCTGAAAGTAGGCTACTCGAAAACAAGACTAGCCAACACCTAGATAAGGCTAACAAATAAATCTGAAATCCATATAAGAAACCCTGGTTGTTTGCGGTCGTCTTATCGGTGCTAAAGTGACTTTCCAGATTTGAATGTATTTTTGTGCCGATCATCGTGAAGAGCTAATGGTTATTAGATTTAGGGGAACACCGTGGTATATAATTATCTGATAAGACCGGCGCGCTAAAAGGTTTATTTCCAAACGGCAATTAAGTCGGTTCCCATACATCTTTGATAAGATTTGGGCTCCATAAATGTTTGGTGGACTTTATATAGATCACTAAAAGTATTTTAAAATTGGAACTAGTTCTTAGTTTTTTATGATTTTTAATAGAAAACAAGAGAGAACGCTATAGTCGAGTGCCCCGACTATCAGATACCCGTTACACAGGTAAAGGGAGTGCGAGGGAGATGGAGATAGAAACTTTGATCACGCATAACTTTTTAACGAATGGTCCGATTTGAAAAATTTCTTCTACATTTCGATAGGTATCGATAAACACAATAAAACTGCATTTTTACTTTTCCGAAATATTTAAATTTTTAAAATCGTATATAAGCGATTGTGGGCGTTAAAGGGGGCGTGGCACCATTTTGAAACAAACTTGCGCTGCGTAGGAACTTCTAAAATCTACATGCAAAATGCCAATCTTCTAGCTTTTATAGTTTCCGAGATCTCAGCGTTCATACGGACAGACAGACAGACAGACAGACGGACAGACAGACGGACAGACGGACAGACGGACAGACAGACGGACAGACGGACAGACGGACATGGCTATATCGACTCGGCTAGTGACCCTGATCAAGAATATATATACTTTATAGGGTCGGAAACGCTTCCTTCTAGCTGTTACATACTTTTGCACGAATACAATATACCCTTTTACTCTACGAGTAACGGGTATAATTAGGAATGGAAATGATAAAAAAAGTTGATGTCATTTTCACTTTGTGAATAAATAAAATTAATTTGTAATAATTATTTGAGTATTATATATATTTTAAGGAAGTGAATTATTTTTTAAAAATTTTGTAAAATGTAAATTTGTTAATAATTATATTAGTTACCATGACATTGAATAAACGATTATATTATTAAAAAATATTTTTTCAAGAAGTGTTTGTGAATTTATCGTAATACAACTTTAGAATTTGTATTATTGCTAAATAACATTTTCAACCGCGAACTAGTTCCAACCCACAATATCTGAACTATTTAGCGCACTACTAGGAATTCAACTTTCACTCGTAACGTCAATAAACTTTATGGTGTATAGTGTCCACTCTTGGTCGTAATTTTATATGCCTTACGTACACATGTGATTTTTCAACCACATATATATTCAAATTTAATTAATTTATTTATATCCACCAATCAAGCTGATAAGTGGGTTGACAGAAAGTTTTTGCCAACGCTTATCTTATCGGCGTGCTGGCCATTTCGAGGCGCTCGCTCAATAACCGCTCGATGCTCCTCCATTTATTAAACGGCGTCTGAACAGTCGGTTAACTTGATTCGCAGTGTTCACGAGTTGGCCGTCCGACAAGTGCGAAGTTTATAGTTAAAAATCTGTGACAAAAACTGCAAAAATAATGACAAACTCAAGTGGACAAACAAGGCAGCGGTTCCAATGAAAAGGTGCCAAGTAAACAATCAACAAATCAACTGAAAACAAATAACTGAAAACGGAAACGTCGCAACAATTGTTAAGCCCTAAGCTTTTAATTGCCTTACGCAGTGTTTGAGTGATTGCTGCGAAAATATGCCGATGTTACCAACGATTGAGGAAGAGGCCAAGTTGTCCTGGCTTCGGATTATGTGGAAATATCGCCAGCAGTTTCAGTCCATGGCCTCGGGTAATAACCGAAAAGAGCTGAATAAAGATCTACAGATTTTACCCAATTTTCGTATTTAATAGCATCAATTGTGTTCGTGGGCTGCGGAATGCGTTTGGCCTGGTCAATTTTTGATACCCCCGCCGGAAAGTTCCTCAATAACAACAACACCCACAATCTGATGATGAGCTGGTTCATTGGCGGCGCACTCGGCGCCCTTTTGGCCGCCCTATTTGTGCAGCGTGTCACCAAAAATGTGGCCTATGTGAGTAGTTAAATTTATTGGTTTATCCTACTGTGTGCTTCCCCCTCGAAACTCCAACTTGATTTGCCCTTTTCCATGCCACCAATAGTTGATTCTGCAGCCATTAGCACTTAACCATTAGGGGGCTTATCAATCCAATAAACTGATAAGGCGATCGCGTTCAACCTGCATTGGCCATTAAGTGGCGATAAACACTGGGCGGTAAGCGAGGGCTGATCGATCGATTGTTGGAGTTTCCCAAGTGGAAAATGTGTTAAACAAGAAAGTCATTATTAGAATTGTTGGTAGCCAAAAATAGTTTGGGTGATTCAGAGAAATAATAGAAGCATATAGCTACATCAGAAATAGCAGAAACCAATGCCTGAAGTTTTAAGTTTGGGTTGCTTACTTACAAATCGTTATTAATTTAAATAAGAAACCTCCTTTTCATATTTTCATGATGTTTTTGTATAGATGCCATTCGAAAGTTAGTTATTTAAAGGCCAAACAACTCTCTAAGAAGAGTTCAGTTAAAGAAGACTGACTTCTTGCTTTAAAAAATTAGGCTAAAATCGAATCGGGCATTTAACTTTGCCTAAATTAACTACAATGTGTGTTAACCTACATATGTATATAAAATAAATAGTTTTTATGGATTTTTATAAGTATTTCTCTTTAATTTAATTTCGATTGCTAAATATAAGGTTTAATTTTTAGGAAAACATAGTTTTTGTACTTTTCTTATTTTACACAAATCAAGTGTTATGTTATTCTTTAAAGATATTTATCTTATTTATCAAATATAAATCTTTGTGGTATGATCTTCTTAATAACCTCTTAAATTGTCTTCTTTTTCCGCAGACCTCCAGTGGCTTCCTGATGATCATGGCTGGCATTCTGAACATAGCTCTGCCCCAGCACTTCCTGGCCGCCTGCTACAGTAGCGTGAGTGTGGGTGCGGCCTACGGGTTGACCCAGATCCAGGCTCTGGTCACAGGATCCGAGGTGGCCCACAAGTCCATTCGCGGAATGCTCCTCAGTTGTGAGAAGGTCTTCCTGTGGCTGGGCGTTTGTGTCCAAGTGTTCTACACTCGAGTGTGGCACAATCTGAGGCCACTGGACTCGCAGGGCTATGAGTTGCACATTGATCAGCTGCACGGAATAGCGATGGCAGGTCTGGGATTGGGGGCAGTTATCCTGGCACTGGCCCATCGCCTGGAATCTCCCCTTCTGCTGTTGCATCAGGAACGGGATATGGCAGTGGGTGATACTCTGAAGGCTCTTCATGGTCAATCTACCACGGAATTGGTGCGATTGCGAGAGGACTGCCGACAACTGCACAGTGCTCGGGATTGGGAGCGATTTGTGGAGGAGCCCGAGGAATCAGTGGCTTGTTGGAAAATATGGGCCAGACGATTCCTGCCCTTTCTCAAGGTCCTGCTCCTGCGATGTTTTGCCACACTGGCCGTGTCCTTGAGCTACAATCGAGCTTTTGTGGTGGTCAGTTGGCATGGCCTGGAATGCGATATGAACTGCATGTATTGGCTGGCATTCGCGGGTCTCATTGGCAGTATTTTGGGAGCCTTCGTTGTTGATCGACAGGGTCGCAGGAAACTCTGTTCCCTATCGCTTTTCCTGGCGGGCATTGTGATTGTAATGGTTGGTGGCGTCTTCGAACACTTGGAATCGGTGAAGAGAACATTCTACGATATAAATTTACAAGCCATTGCTCTTTTAATGCTCCTATTTGAGGTGTTAGTATCCGGGGGCGTGGCATTGCCCGCCCTAATCTACACAGCAGAGGCTTTTAGTATTGCCCACAAGGCCAGATGTTTGGCTGGGATTCTAATACTGGAACAGTTGCTCCAACTGGGACTCCTTGTGGCCACCTTCGAGCACTACATCACCGTTTCGGTGTTCTTCTTCACGATCGGTGGTCTTAGTTTTATAGTGGGCCTAATCGTATTTATGCTTATGCCAGAAACCAGGCAACTGACACTCTACGAGTGCCTGCTCAAGTTCAAGAAAGTTCCTTAAGGCGTCGCCATATCTCTAAGTGCCCAGTATCTATTGTCTCTGCCTATCTGTTATATATTTTTACGTACTCTACTATATAGTATATTCTATTCATTGGAGTGATTGTTCATGTGCATATCATTATCTATCATATACTTTTCCCAAACGATTTCATTTTGCCGTTCTGGAAGCCTCATATAAATAGTGACTAAACAAAAGAATTTCCTTTTTTATCTTCTGCCAGAAACATAGCATAAATAAAGCCCAGATAAAGATTTAATAATTGTGAATTGTCTTAGTTATATAAGAATCTATTGAATAATTATTTACTGTCATAAATATATTTAGTGATGTAATATAATATAATATAATTATATATAACATTGTTTTATTTAACGCTGAAGTGAGTTTAACGATCACGAAATATTGTATTTTTGGTAAATAAACTCAGAATTGTAAGCAAGATTTTTGTTTCATGACTCGGTGCATAAATGGTAATTCTTAAAGTCATGGGTAATATAAATTCAGACAAAAATTTGCAAGGTAATAAAGAAGATATTTCCGACCCTATAAAGTATGTATGTATATACATTCTTCATCAGCATCAGGAGAGTCGATTTAGAAATAAAATCAAATTAATTTAACATTAAATAGATGATTTAAAATACGCATTTATGCTGAAACCTTTATACTAACAATTACATTTCATGTATTAAACACTTACAAACCGTTTACAAATAAGCTTTAACCATATTTTACCATGGCTTAAATATGGTTCAACTCCAAGCTAAAGCTTTTACTGCTATTCAGCTGGTTTGCCAAGCTTTTCTGCCATAATATTAAGGAAACTGTTACCACTATTGGCTTTTCAGAGCTTTCACTGGAAAATAGCCCCAAAATAACCACTATGTGGTCTATGTAAACAAAGTGTTTTTTACGATTATGCTACCCTTGCCGGCTAGTGAAAGCTCCGCGGCTCATTCATAAGGCTCCCACAACTCCGCTTTACCCTTCCACGCATCCTGGCACTTTCCGGAATTTAATGCGGATTTTAGAGCGGGCAAAAGGACCAAAAAAAAGGGGGGGCGAAATCAAGTTGATTAATATGGCGTGTGATGAATATGCATTGGCCACCAAAAAGCCGAAAGGGAAAAGCGAGCCAGCTCCCCAGCTGGCCATCTAATGATGTGGAAAATTCGCTTGGCTCTTTTTTGCAGATACCAGATACTTTTACTACTTATCGATATGCAATTTTTGTGTTCCACATTCCGCTTAGCCAGGCAAAAGCACTTTGGGATGCCATTGCCCAGAAGTGGTTGCTTTGCCGCTCTGTATTCCATTTAATGTTTGAATATGCTCCTTGTTTGATCCTGTGGATGTGTGTGGCCAGGATGCTGCGGTTGCTTTGTTGCTACTCAATTGTATCTGCCCGCAATTAGCAATTCTGCCCAACACTTGCCAACCATTCAATAACATGCGGTCAACGACCAAACTCGAGGTTCTGCTCCAATTGAATCCAGTTTAAAGTAATTTAAATTTTAATTGAGTTAATTACAGGCAGCACAAGTTCTTTGTTTATGCAGCAGTAACAGCAATAAAAAAACATCAGGAAACAAAAAAATTACAGACAGAAAATATACAATGTGAAATTTGCTTACAATCTTGGTAGACAATTTAATGTCTCTTTTAGCTAAGAAAGAATGTATGTACAAAAAAATATAATAATACAAATTTTAAAAGGCCATGTTAACTTCGGATTTAGTTAATATATTTTCTCTGTGATGGTTTGTAAAATTTCCAGGGCTTTCAGCTGACAAACATTTTTTTAAACTGGAAGTCTCGTCCAATTAGAAGGTACGATATCTAAATAAGAAAAGACAACTTCATTAATCCATAAATTTAAAAAATATATCTATTTTTTCCCCACTTTTTACTCAAACCGTTTCCATTTGAAATAACTCACTTTATCCCTTAAAGTCTTAAGCTAGAAACTGTAGCACACTTTTCAGTACAAACAGAATAAACTGGCTTTCAAAGAAACGCTCAAAGTAGAGCTCTGCAAACAAATAAAAAGTCATGAAAACATGGTTGCAAAAGCTGCAAGGCAAAGAAAAATTTCAGCAGAAGTACTACTCATATGGAGTTCCCTTTGGAGCGGGCTTAATGCGTTGCTGTTGCCCTTGTTTCAATTAACTGAAATTGAAAACGACAATCGTAAACATTAACAGCAATGGGATTCCCCGCTGAGCAACAGGAACGACAATCGCAATGCAAATCGCTTTGGTGCAGCGGAGAAAACACGTTGACGGACAAAAGTCAAGGAAAAGCATTTCCACATTTCCACATTTTCACTTTCCCGCAAGCCAAAAGAAAACAGGTTAAGAAAAGGGACAGCAGGCAGGCAGGCAAGCTGCTTGCCGGCATCGTAAATGAAAAAAGCAAACAAACGTAAAATTTTATTTGTGCGCAATTTTCTATAAATTTTCATCGATTGCCATTGGGATATTGGCGACATTTGCGTTTGGCATTTTGCTGCGTCCTTCACACACAGTATATATACATATATATATACGTGGGATCCTGGTAGCTGACTTGGCTGCCATAACTTCGGCTGCACTTGGAATTATGTTCTGCCGCCACCGTCACCGCCTCAAACGAAATTGAAAAGTACATATACTGTATGTATTACAAGTTTCCAATCAACAGCGAATGAAGTTTCCATAATGGCAAATAAATTATGTTTTGCTCTTTGCAGGGAAACGGAAACGGAAACCCGGTAAGCAGCCATTGCTGGCATCAAATTAATGTCTCAGCATGCCGCAAAATGGCCGACGTGGCGAAATTTATGACTCCGAAAGACAACTCTAAAGTGGCCAAATGGCCAATGGTGCCCAAGTGTTTCGGCTACCCACTCCGCTGCGGTGTGACAATAAAACGGAGTCAAATGTCCATAAAAACGAGGGACCCAAATCCAAACCACAAAGAAACGGGCCATACATAAGCATATAAAAGTGAAATAATAAATAAGACCGTAAATTCCGTTGGCGGAAAGGGTTGTGATCATAAACAGACAAAGTGCGAGCCATTCAATAAGCCAGCTACAATCAATTGGGCCCCAGGCAAAAAGTCAAAACTTTAAGCTGCAGTTCGGAAATCGAGGGAGATCCTGGTTTTTGGAAAATTTCTAAACTTGACAAATTAATTGGAAATTAAAACGAGCCAGTGACGCGTTTGTTTCTGTGTCTGGCCTGACACAAAGTAAATTGACACGTTTTCGTTTCATTTGTTGCTGGCTCGGAGTTTTGGCCTTTGAGTTCCCGGTTGGCAGTTGCCGAAAGTAAACGCCGTCCTGCTAAACTTTTTCCTAACAAGCCTATAAACTTTTCCTCGCCTTTCCGGCGAAAAACTTTGCCTTAAATTGCCAGGGCACAAGCTCCCTGAAAAAAAGTTGATAAAAAATTAAAGTCAGTCTTTGCAGATTGACTGCTGCCGCAGAAAGCGCATAAAATTTAATTAGCTCACATAAATCCCGCTTCGAGGTCTTACTGAGATTCGGAATCCAATGAGGTTTCGGCTTTTGGGACTCTGCACAGGGCACGAAAATCACTCGAGTTGACATTTTTAATGCAAACGGAGAGGAAGTGGAAAATGGTTGGGCAGATGAAGTCTCCGGTTTTTCCTCGTTTTTCCTGGGCTTTCATGACTTATGCAAGTTTTGACGACAGGTGCACGCGTCTGCAACTCTGCTGTTTGCGAGTGTGTGTGTCTGTGTGTGTGTGTGACTTCGTGTTAAATCAACTGTCGCTTCCTCTCGACAAAGTTTGTCCTGCGAGGACATCTAGGAGCCGAGCCAGTGGAATTCAAGTTATGATAGCTGCATGCGTTTCAACAATTTACTTAACAGCTAACTGCGCTGAAAGTGTCACAGAAGAAAATAAATCGGGGGAGCGTGAGAAAGTGCTGCAAACGGAGCATTTCTTTTGCAGGTCTCTCGAAAATAGTTGAAGTAGATAAATAAAACATACAAATATTGCCCAATACATTTCAAAATGTTATTACATAAATACCTCAACATGTTCAGGCTTTTGAAATAATTCACTTTAAGGACCAGGCATTGCAAAAGCCGAATTCAATATAACCCAATTGAGAGCCGAGTTATTCAGTGTCTGAAAAAATATCTGCAAATAATTGGATGCGGCTTTAAGCTGAAGTTTTATTCGGATCAATGGTATAAGCAAAAAATGCAATACGAATGGCGGCGTCAACAGTTTTTTACAATTTAATATTGAGCTTTAAGCTGGGCATGCGACTATTTTGTTTTCACTGTGCGTCTGCGACTGTTGCTAATTAAATTCTCCTTTTTCCCAGATTATCATAGCAACCAATGGAGCAGTGGCGTTTCGGTCTTTTGTTGTTTGTTGGTGAGTGTCATTTACGGCATGCAATTAACGCCATTAAAAATCTGTGAGAGCTAATTAAGTGCGGCATATATTTATGCATTTTGCATGAGTGAATTGTGCATTATTTATGGCTGATTTTTCATCATTTTTGTTTACCAGTTGTGCTTGCGGTCGAACGGATCGATTCAATCAGCCCCATCGAGCGCCTTTGGAACTGATTCCGTCTGCCACGGATTGGAGCGGGAAAACACGAAACAATTCACTTCCGTTTTGTTCGGCAAAGTTCCGTTGCCAAGCCCCCCTGCCACGCCCCCTTTTCCACGCCGCAAATCGAGGTTGAGGAAGTCCTGATAATGTCTGCCACCCGGCCATTGACAACCGCGGCAAATGCAACCTGCAACCGCCTCAAAACAGTTGGCTGTAATGCCACACCGGGAAAAATAAGTGGCAATTTTAAATTATATTTTTAAAGAAGATTTTTGGCACCTTTTGTAAAAAAAGGGATATTGGTTTGTTTAGCAAACGGAAGCTCCTAAAAAATGTATGTTGTGAAATCTTATTACAAAATTGGGCGATAAATTTACAAATATCAATGTATGCTTATGAATACTTTAAGTGTTTGTTTTGAGAAACAGCTTAAGTTTTGATCTAATTTCCCTGTTCTAGATCTGTGAACTGGGAAATTGGTTCTTTAAATTATTTTTATTTAAGTGAACAAACGTATATGAAGAAATTTAAATTTCATATTGTACATAAAATCTTTATTAAATATATTTTCGGATGTATACGAAAATAAACTGCTGTTTTTTCCCCATAACATTTAATGGAATATAATTTAAAGTAATTGAAGTTATGCTCGTTATTTACTATATAGACCGATTCATCATTATGCATAACTTGTATCAGTGTAGCGGCAACAGCTCCGTGTCTTCTCA